TTTTAACAAAAGAATATTGACTGTGCAAATTGAGTTTTTTTAGTATTTAACCCCATAATGAAAATGAAACAAACCCAATGTTTTTAATTGGTCGATCCAAACTGCTTGTACAGCGGGGTTGATTTGACCTCAGTTCGCTGCTTTCGGAATAGCTGGACTAGCAAATGATAAAAAGTGACAAAAACGTTTCCATATGAGTATTGAGCGTGATGAAGCAGACAACGTTGCTACCTTTGATCATGTTATTAACTTATTTGCTGATACAAAAGCACACAAAATTCAGTTGCAAGATTAAACAATGTTAAAAATTCAGCAACTTACAAGACTCTACAATAAGATAAAGTTAGAGAATAAGAATACTAAGATGTATGCGATAAATACAACAGCCTTACAACTTAGGATAATGGTAAAGTTGTATACAAAGTTCCGAACATTGTAATGCAGTTTCAATAGTAAGAAACAGGGATGGCGCCAGGGTTTCTTTCGGAGATAGCTGCACCCCCACCTCTCCTACTCCCATTCATCGGAGAGAAAAACCATAATTCGTTGGGGAGAAAAAAATATATATGTATTTTGTACATATTAGAAGACTCTAAAATCGATTAAATAAGCCTTTGAAACCCATAAATCAAAAATTTTCGGGGGCTTCGCCCCCCTCCCCTCCATGCCACTTTCAGAGGATTTTAAGCGACGCTCGATCATGCCTACTTTGCTCTCGTCAAGGAAATCTTCCCCCTCGTCAGGACATCGCCCTTCCCCCTCGTCGGGGCATCGCTTACCCCCCCCCCCACACCCAACCTCGGAACCTCCTATTATAAAGTTAGAGTTAGGAAATCGAATCAAATTGCATTCGAAACTTGAACATGCGTCATAGAGAAGCAGCACGCATTTTGATAGGAACGTCTTTTACTGTCTTTTGGAGGACGCCCTCTAGACTGTGGTAGTGCTTTTTACTGCGAGTCAGCAGACGAGCAGCGACACTAATTTCAACGTACACCAGTAATAAAAATATCGATTTTTTTTTCCAGGACTCGAGATGAATTTTCCGGAGAACGTCGGATCGTTTTCAGTTTTCAGCCCGAAAGCGCAATAAAATTCGAGTGCTTTTCGGAGCCTTTTTGAGATCCACATGGTCCCGGCGGCGTGGCTTTCAATCCAGGTCATTGTCAGTTTAGAGCTTGACGGGGTCAGATGTGTTCGTTTAGAGTTAGAATTCAATCGGTAAGTATTCCATTTTCAAACATTTATTATGTCAAGTCTTAGAAGTGTTAAGGTCATGATAATTTTAGTGATGTTTAGTGTGATTGTGTCCTGTTTGGGAGATTTTTAGTGCATCTATAGTTTTTTTATAATTTAATTAGGCCTAGGCGGAACGTAGCTAGTCTTTCAATTTGAGACTAGGCCCTAGGTCTAACCTAATATTAGGTATTTTATTAGCTTCTCTACCTAGGGTAGATCTAGGCTTAGGTTAATTTAGGGCCAGGTTTCTAAACGAACAGCGTTATTTTTCTATTTTATATTAATTAGAAATTGCCAGATTATTTTGATGCCTGTATATGCCAACAGGCTCATCATAGACGCCATATTGTAATTTTGTGACGATAAATACTTTTCCATGATTATACTTAGGAGGTAGGTGTATATTTTGATCTTCAAATATCTTACTAATAAATCAACATCTAATAAAATATCAAATAATATAATAGTAATCAATAATTATATTGAATATATATGTTAGTAAAACAGCTTTTATGTGTGAATTTGGTAACAAATATTGGGCTTCAATCTTATGTTAATTTACACAATCATGTACATTCGTTTGCAGATTGTTGGTTGCACATGTATATAGTTAGTTTGTGAGTTTCACATGTGCCCTGTGAAATTGATTCGGTAAGTATTTTATTTTCAAACATTTATGTGTCTGTAATTGCCTAATTAATGCTAAAAGTGTTCATTATGGTCATAATCATAATAGTGATGTTTCTAGAGTGTAATTGTGTCCTGTTTATAAGTATTTGAGGGCAGCTATGGTTGAGCTTATAATTAATTAGGCTGAAGGTCGCTAGCCTGTTCTATTTGAGGCTAGGTGTAAATTAATATTATTGATATAAAATATAAACCCCCTTCTCTTGTTTTAAATTTATTCATGGGTTGACACTTAAATAGTATGCAGCTATGTTTGGGCTTATAATTAATTAGACCGAACGTTCCTAGCCTGTTCTATTTGAGGCTGGGTATATATTTAGCATTTTTTTATTTGGCCTAATAATTTATAATTCATTTTTAAGGAGCCTACAAGATATCACATATTTACGATTACCTTCTACATCAACCCAGGAAACAAGAAACCCAGCGGAAAAGACCTCAAATACGAACAGAGGGTGCACGTCATCGGATGACAACGGCCGATGACGAAATGATCTGAGATTAGGTCACTACCTGATGAAAATACTATTTCGAAACCGGTTTTAATACTGTAGTATTTAAACAAGTTTAAATATTAAAAAGCATATTGTTGATAAAGCATTTATTTAAATACTGAAAAGCACATTGTGGATAAAGCATTTATTTAAAAAAAGAAGAGCATATTGTAGATAAAGCATTATTTTATTTAAAGATTTTAATACTGGCAAGCACGATATGCATAAACCATTTTTTAAACAGATTCAATTTCTGTGAGGCATTTTCTTCATTTAGCCACTTTTTTGAAACAGTTTTAAATATTTTTTTGCTGTAACAGATTTAAATAGGCCTAATGTGAAGGTTATTGTGGATAACACTTTATTTTACATATTAAAATACTGTGAAGCTTATTGTGGTTAACAATGAAACAAGATCGACTACTAACATGTCTATTAGTATATTATTATGTTGTTTTGTAGCATTGTAAACAAACTTTTTGAAACCCATTCTTATAAGTCACCAAATCATACATTTCTACCAACCTTTAAATCTAAAACTAAGAATCAGCACACCCTTTAATGTACTGAAGTATCTATTAATATATTTTACATGAATAGCATACTCGCAGCATTTTACTTTCTATTAGAAACTGCTAGTCAAGATACAAAAATACAGTAGTAGGATTGCGTTTCAAGACATAACCCCGAGACCGAGAGTTCAACTCTTTGGTTTTACCTAAACGTCTGAAACCAAAACGTTGTGTGCAGAAGTAAACAATTACAAACTTCTCAAACCGAATCTCCATGCAAATAATTTAGTAAACATAATACAGTATAAGGAAATACACACACGCTCCCGATAGGAGCATATATTAAAGTTTATAGCAATTTTAAAAAATTCCAAAGAATTACAGTATCTTCCCATTGGGTTGGTTTACGTTTCATAATACGTAATTTAGATTAATTAATCGAACATGTGTTATTTTTGAATCAGATTTCCAAGCAATCGCGTAAACAATACGTCATTTTATCTTATCACGTCATCGATCCTTTTTACTAAGTGTAAGCGACGTTATTCCTGCGTTATTCTAGAGTTCTTATATAGAGAGAGTTGCGACATGAGACGCTGCTGCTCGGTAGCATCTTGGTGCCTTGCATGCATGAATGACCACAAAGCCTATGCTACAGTGTGGTGATTGCAAAAATAATAGACAATTGAAAAAAAAAATAAAAATATTAATAAGAAAATTTCATGTCATTTGATAGTAAATATCTGTTAATTAACATATGTTTGACATTTATAACAAAATTCCAAAAGAAATTGATTCTTAATATGCTATTAATAATTATTATATTATTACATGCAGTTTTTGCTTGACCAAAATTGCATAGCACCTTAGCGAGTTGTACAACATCGCGTTTGCTCGGCTCATAAAATAATAGCCGACAGGTTCTAGGCCTTGTCACTGGACAACTTAGAAATTCGTATAGTAAATTGGTGTTTGTGGCACGCCTCAGCTAGGGTCCCAGTCCGATGGTATCTCCAAAATGACTAGTAGTATATAATAAGAGAAATCCGTAAGTCATACGGTAACTGAAAAAGTACTACGCTACTTTTATAGCTAGCTAGACCTAGTCTATCAATACTACCTACCTACTAACTGTACTGCAGAAGCAGTGTGACCACTGCTTGGGTATTTACTCAAGATCTTGGGTATTTTGACTTGGTCTTGGGTTCTTGGGTATTCCGTTCAAATCCTTGGGTATTTTATTTTTACTAAGAAAATTTAATAATTTTGACATAGAGAAAGAATTATGAAGTAACAAAGTATATGTCAGTCCATTCAAGTAAGCAAAACTCAAGGAAGTGCACATAACATTGTTAATTGACTATTAATTGCTATAAATATGGGTTCAGAATGTTTATTTGTGATTTGCGTTGCCATTGATCTTACCTAATTAATGCATTACATAATAAAACTTGATCACTGATCTACTGATAACACTGGCCGACTGAGGGCGTATTTTTCTATCTGTATAATCACCTCATAAATATTAATTTTAATAAATAACACAAACAACTACAACCAGAGCCTTGCAAGCGTCAACATTCCTATGCATTATACATGACTTAAAAAGTATATATACATATGTATATATATATATACGTGTATATATATATGTGTATATATATACGTATAAATATGTATATATATATACATATACATATATATATATATATACGTATATACGTGTGTATATATACACGTATATATATATATACGTATACAGGCGCGCGTGTACGTGTATACACTGATAATTACTTCGGTTTTTTAAATGGCGCTATATAAGTTCTTACCTTATTATTATTAATATTATTATTATTATTATTATTATTATTATTATTATTATGTATACACGCGCGTATATATATAATATATATATATATGTGTGTATATGTATGTGTATATATATGTATATATATGTATGTGTATATATATGTATGTGTATATATATGTATATATATGTATATATATATGTATATATATATATATGTATATATATGTATATGTATATATACTACCTATATTCGGCTCTTAAGGGGAAACTCTTTTGTCTATGATTTCCCCTTAACGTCGCTTTAGTTTCCCCTTAGCGACACTACTTTCGCCTTATGGTACTGTTTTTAACCACTTCATTGTTTTAGTTTCCCCCTATGGATACTTCTAAGCTCCTATATGCTATATGTATATATATATATGTATATGTATATGTATATATATGTATATGTATATGTATATGTATATATATGTATATATATATGTATATGTATATGTATATGT